TAATAATAATAATAATAATAATAATAATAATAATAATAATAATAATAATAATAATAATAATAATAATAATAATAATAATGATGCATCAGTCAATTCCAGCTGCGCCCAATAACAAAACAGTCCAAAGACTATTACCAAGGGGAGGAACTACGCGCTCCGGTCAAAAGACTCAAACTGTCTTTAAAAAAAAACCACTAAGCTGGAGTTTAGAGTTATCACAATGTAATTCTCCATAGCTGATGTAGCTTCGGTTTAAGCTGCTTTTCAATCGTATAGTTTTGGATCTGTAAATCACTGTCCGTGATAGTTTTAAAACATTCTGCAAAGAAAACTAACCAGCTTGGCCCAGCGTCAGGATACAACATTGCAGAAAAACATCACATTCACGGACTACAGAAAATCGCTTAGTTATTCAGATCGAGAAGGCACTTTGGAGAAAAGTAAGACCCTTATTCAGTCGCAATAGAAAGCTTTACGCTTCAAAAGAGGTCAAAGAAAATGCTCTTGCATCAGAGGGCAAATCCTGTCGACCAGAAACAAAAACCACCGTAAATCGATATGTGTGCCATGACCTCTCAGTGTGAAACAAGCGGCTAAAATCACATTTGTCAGTGAAAATGCAGAACCTTCCAGAGAATAATCTACCCCGCAGAGGAAAAAAATTTATGGGAACAAGCAGCATTTTGGCATAAAGTAAAAGTCGTGTCGGCCTACCACCCCACTTTCATTGCTATAAATACCCGAAGGAAAACGAAGAGGATTCTGGTCGTTGCTTGTAATAGTAAAGTGACGCCGTCGTGGAAGTGGCCTACAGAACCTATAGACGTACGAGGCCCCTGTCAAATTTTTGCCCCTGATTTCGGAATTGATATCGGCCTGTGTACAGCCACCCCGACAGTATCAAAGAAAGTGGTTTGAATAAACTACCAACAAAACAAAAGGAATAGCAAATCAAATTAAATATATATATTTTTTAATAAAATTGCTCTGTATCAATTAAAAAAAGAAAACAATTATCTACAAAGATATAAACGGTCTATACTGCTGACATGTACGGACACTTGCTTTTTTTTTACTTTCTCTAGTTTGCTTTTTCTTACGTATACTACTAAAATTTTCAATTCTATTGACACCAATCCTGAATGAATCTCCGCTTTAAAAGCCTTAAAAATGTGGTTGAAGTTAGACGCAAAGTAGTGCCCAGCGTATACCCTTATCTTCCCGCTCACCCTAACCCTACTTAATCCTAATTGTGATCTTCAGTACCCACATAAGATTCACAATCCTCTGGTTTACTTTTCGAATCAGTGTCTCCATGGGTAATGCCCCACTGTTCAAGCTTTTCCAAGCCGAAGTCCTCAAGTATCAGGTCCCGACGAGGAAAGCATATGCATGATGTCGTCTTATTTGCTGTAAACGGGTCAATATTACTGTCCTTCTTTAAAAACAGATAATATACGCGCCTAACACCAGCCTCGCAGAGTACCTTTGCACAATTGGAGCAAGGCATATGAGTAACATAAACGATAGCTTTCTTGAGGGTACAGTTAGAAAACAAAACGGCTTTCATTTCAGCATGAAGGCAGCAATTTTGAAACAATTTTTTTTGTTTTTTTTGGTCACTCTCTCCAGCCAAATGAAGATCTATTTTACTTTTATTTTTCACAAACCCATTCCATCCCAGTGAAAAAAAACTTGGTAGACTGGGATCTCCATAGCGGTAAATAATACAACCCACAGAAGGTTTTCCTTGTGTTGACAATTCGGATCGACTAGCCACCAACACGGCCAATTTCATGAGCATGACATCCGTTTCATCAACTTCAGTACTAGCGGGTTGTACTTTCATTGTGGTAGATATTGCGCCATGAGCAAATGGCGATTCCTACAGAGATAAAATATAAAAATTAACAGCACATAAAATACAATGCTGTAAGAAATCCACCGCCAGTGAGGTAGACAAAAAGCAGCACATTAAACAAAACAGTGACACAACCAGAACTTGAAAATTGACGTTTGAAAAGGGGTGGGGGGAGGTAGCCTCCCATGCAGACATTTTCAGGGCTTGGTCACTCGTTCCAATCGCGTGAGGAAACCCTAAGAACGTCTACGTTTAGTGTTACTTACAAGTGTAGCTACAGTCGAACCTCCCGGTACGGACACCTCTCTAATACGGCCACCTCTCTATTACGGCCTGCAGTTTCCAATGTCCCGACAGAATTATCATATATTTTCTTTTAAAACAACCTCTACAATACGGACTCTCTCTAATACGGACAAAAGGACACTAAATCTCGGCCCCAAAGAGTAAATTCATATAAACTTAACCTCTTTATAACGGACACTGCGGTGATCAGCTGAGTCCCGTCTAGTCTGGTGATGAGCTATGCAAGGTGATATAAAGCCCAGTCGCTGTATACCAAACAACGATTTGCGAAAGGTGTACAGAGGAACAGACACTTGCAAAATAGCGAAAAATACTTTCAGAATTGTGCTTTACGTTACACCTTTTTACATGCAGCATTGCGCTGTAGCTCGTTTAGTTTTAAAACAGTAATTTCTGTAGCTGAGATGTACAATGTTTGTCAGCTACTGAAAGACAGTATCTTAATTTGTAAAGTGAAAAAATAACTTAAAATGCAGTTTAAAGACGAGTGTGCGCCTGGGTTTAGCTACTGAACTCTTAAAACTTTAAGAGGAGTCCTAAAAATAACGTCATCGTAGTGACCTCTTTTATACTGACACCTCTCTAATACGGACACTTCGCTCTGTCCCTTCAGTGTCCGTAGAGAGGTTCGACTGTATTGTCTTCAAACTCTATAACACCACAGGCATCGCAAGCGCAAGTTACGAGGGTGAAATGAGCATTTCAACTGACGCGAACAAGTCTGTATAGTCTGCGAATACAGCCGTTTCTCATTGCTTCTCGCCGTTAGTGACGTTCCTCCAGGAGGAAAGTCTGCGATTCAGCGAGAGAAATTCCCTACCGATGACATAAAATCTGTCAGGAATCTGGTCAGGAGCTCTGATTGGTCGACATAGTAGTTATATTGTTTTACCTATTGCTTACGAATGACAGAAAAAAGACAAGAGGTCACAAACGTCGAATGGAAACCGAGTCGTAAACGTGATGAATCTACTACAAAATAGTGAATAGTCCTGGAATATAATCTTCTTTAGAAGAAGCATCTGAGTTTAGTTGGAGCTCGTTCGCAGTAGAACACAAAACTTTCCCATAATCGATCAGGGGAAACACAAAATCAAACAAATTTACATATGAACCCCATGACTACCGGAGTTATTATGTAAACATTGATTTACATCATCAGTATTGAATGTCTGTCACCGGGCCGAAGACGTTCCTCCTGGCGAAACGTCCCTTGCGGCGAGGAAAGGAGAAACGGCTGCGTTCGCGAGCTAGAGTCGGTATCGCGTTACAACCGATCGTTGAAACTGATCGTTGAGACGTTGTATGAGAAAGAAAATACTAAGGTCTGCGAACGATAAATATCGTTATATTCACTTTGTTGTATTTCTATGTCTTTCGGTATGAATTTATCGATTTAGTCCACTTCTTGGCTCTATTACTTTGCCCTTGTCATATGACGAAGTCAGAGCGCTCTGGGAGAGCTTGCTCGCAGGCTAACACTAACCACACTTGTAGGAGGGGGGGGGGGGGGGGGGGAGCCGGATTTAGTGTCGCTACATGAGGAGCAGTGGAGCTCATGTGGGAGGGCGCTGGTGCAGGGAGCTCACGGCGGTGCGGGGGGTGGGGGGGGGGGGGGGCGCGGGAGGTAGGGGGGCGGGGTCTAGTCACAAGTTCACGAACAACAACAATTTTGCGTTTCACGAGTCACGAGACAAATAGTGTAATTATTGACCTTTGATCTTGGCCACGTGTTCGGGTGATCTCTGCGCCGCTATAAATTCCCTACGGAAGCCAGCTGTAGGTGCTAGGTGGGTCTGAACGCATTGAAGTATGAAGTTACATCAAAAGACTCAAAAATAACGTTTAATCAAGCCACCAGATGCTAATTAAGGTCGTTTGGCCAAATTAACGATTTATTTCCTTCAATTGATCTTCAATGTACGTGTACACAATGAGGATGTTGGCAGTTCACGTTTCACGGAGTGCACTTCCATCACGATTCACATAACAGTTATTCAGTACATCATGAATCACGGACACCAAAAATGGTCGATCACGAAATGGTCAATCACAGCGTTACGAAAATAAGCTTGCCCCCTCTGGTAAATAACACTTATAAAAGTTTTATTAAATTGACCCCAGAAATTCTGAAAATTGACCGACAACCATTATTATTCATTCAAAAAACATTACGCCGTTTCTGATTGACTCAAATACCCAGGCCAATTCTTCATAACTAGCTAGCGCTAATCACATTTGGAAGATGTTTGCGAGATCCGATAAATTAGAGAGTTTAAGCTTCACGCATACGGCAAACGACAGATTCAAGTTGAGAATTTCTCAAAATAGAAACTGAGCAGATAAAAACAGCTCAAAACAATTTTTATGGATAAAAATTGCGTGAAACTACTAATTAATGTGTAGAAATGATGAACAGTAAACGACAAGTAAAGAGGAAACTTGGTCACGTGGTAAAAATTCGCGTTTGTCGTTTGACGTAAACGTGATTCTGACGTGATTCTTAACCTCCCTAATAACGTCAACACTACAGGATAAACGCCAAAAAATACAGGTGTTAGGACGAAAAACAACCCGCGATTGGTATTAGCTGTTTGTACCATCACGGAACTTATTAAATTAAATGATGTCCTCTTGAAAACTTCTCTGAGGGCGGGCAAAAGGAAGGCTTAAATAACCAAACACCGAGGCCGGCTTCTATCCCGCGTCCTGATTTCCAACATTTTGACTTAAAGAAAGAATTATGGGAACTAACGGAGAGAACCTTCGTGGGGAGTGGAGGGAGGAGGGGCAAGGTGCAGCAAATATTAAAAACTCATGATTTCTATGTCTACTGCAGTTTATCATGGCAAAAACAAATTACTTAGTAAACAAGCCTTAAATAAGAGTGGTGAGGAAAATTTGAAGGTAAATACCTTTTGGCAAATCCTGAGAGAATTACAATGTAGGTACAAAGATTAACCTTCAAAAACCCAATCCAGTAAAGCTGACTATATACAATATTACAGTGGAATTTTACTTTTCAGTTACATGTATATACTAACTAGTTATACATCACCTCTTCATTTTGCCCTTCCACGGGGTTTTTTGGCACCCGCTGTTCTTCCCTTCCAAAACTTCCTGCCTGCAAATAAAAACGTCAAATTACATGTACATTCTTGAGAAAGAAATGCCAATTTAACAACAGTTGAATACGAATACTGTTATAAATAGACTACTATGTCTGGTTTGTGAAATTGTCCAGTTAAAGCTCAAACTCTGATTTTGAAATTTCACAGATAAACATTTGTGGACTGTTGAGACCGAAAAGTTTCATATGAACACTTTTGTGCCTTTCTAATAGTTTGCTATTTTAACGTTTTGGTTCTAAAACCACCTAAAAGGGGACATGTTATATTATGCTAATCGGCATTTCATGACTTTTACATGATGCGATATTAAGAGAGTTTTAGACCTCGTGCTTTTCAAAAGCAGCCATGTCTGGCTCTTTAAGTTCAAAGCTGTAAATCGAGCCAGTCTTACAAACAAATTAATTACAGAAATACAAGACAGACTGAGAGTAAAATGCAGGCTGGGCACAAAATGCAGAATAAGGACTGTTACCCTCTCTAGAAGTAAAAACCCGCCTATAAGAACCTGTTAGGCTAAAATTTTCATTTTAAACCCCCCTTTTCATAAGAACCTATTTAGCCAAAAATTTTTAATTGGTTCTTATTTTACAAAAATGAAGGCAAAGATGAAAATACAGAAAATAATTTTAGTCTAGGTTTCAGACCTTCATGATTTGGCTTTTACTTCCTGTTCATCGCAAAATGTAACACAGCACTTTATGGACACTGCAGCATGAAGACATGCATGCTAGTACTTTGGAAAGATAAATTTACTGTATGGCTATCATCTTAACTGTATTCTTGACTGTTCACAGTCCCCTATTTTTGCATGAGATCGTCGAGATATGGCGCGTCTTAACCTTAATGGTGGCCATCATGATTTTCAAATGCATATGTACCGAGGGGGCAGGTGTCGGGGATTATATCTCTAGGGGGGGGAGGCGAGAACCAAACCCCCGCCCCCCCTAAGTAGTTGACACTCATGCGGAAGATGGTAGCCCATAACGCAGATCTTACGGAAAAATAGAGGACTGTGAACAGTCTGACTGTATTCTAGATATTTATTCAATACAGCAATATATATTTCATATCACATAATTAAAAAAATGCCCTGTAGTAGTTATCTGTTCGCTAGTGCCCCTGTCAAATTACCATTTCTATAAGAACCTGTTTAGGCTAAATAAAGTTAAAAAACTCTAGGTTCTTATACACAGGTTTTTAATGTATACAAATGCATCCTTACTTTTTTGTTTTCCTTAAAAATAGAAATGAAGATTAGTTAAAAATCATGCAGCTACCTACATCACTGGCACAGTTAACCCCCCCCAAAAAAATTGCACTTTCAGATAACTTTGATATGATTTCCAAATTACAATCATGATCCAGCACTTTCCCAGTAGTCACCAAAAAATGAATAATATACAACTATCCCCCAAAGGGGAGGTAAATAGCAGTGGATAGAGTCAGTGAAATAATTTTATCAGTAAAAGATTAAATCAGTAGTCACAACTATAGGTAATAGAGAGGAGAAGTGTGACATCATGTTACCATGGTAGCTAAATGTTTGGATCACAACAATAGGAAACTTAAGCAATGGCGACGGTGACAGCAACGAGACTTGCAAAAAATCCGTAGGTTTACATTAGCAAAACGACGACTTTGTTCGTGAAACATGCTTTTTAGCTGTCATTGCATGACTGCGACATGAAACTTCCTAATTTCAAGTGCCCACCTCCTGGAGTTCTAAACTTAGATACAGTCCTTTTGGATTCAACCCAGAAAATTTCACTAACTTTTGACAAATTAAATGAAATTGAATTAAGACTGATGAAGTTTGAAACAGTGCTCTTTTTAAGTGAATTTTCAGGTTATTGTCATCCAAAAATTTTGCTACCATGGCAACAGGACGTAACAACTTCTCCTCTCTATTGTAAATAATTTACCCAGAGGAGGATCGAATAGTATCCCATGATGCATTTTCCAGAAGCATCACGCAATATCGCAGTCATAGCAGATTCCATCTTGAAATAAGGTCGTTTTCTCGTCGGCTTTTTTCTCACTCGATTTCCAGTAAAAGTAAAAAAAATACATTATTTCGTTATTTGACATGATTTCTCCAATTTGCAATGGCTTAAGAGCGAAGTTTCCACTTAGAAACATTTATTTTCACGGTTTCAATTAGTCTTCCCATCATTAAGTGTTCAGTGACCCACAACCAGGTCATGAATATTCAAGATTTTTTGGAATATATGTTGAAATCTTACAAATGTGGACCTCACGCCAGCAAAATGAAGTCCTGAATATTGTACAGGCCAAGAAGTACCCAGAAGTACCCACATTTTGAAGACTTTTTTGTCGACCAAAGATGGCTGAAATTTCGAATCTTTTATCACATTTCAACGCCATGTGTCATAATATATGTGTAAAGCCTGATGAAGGCTACAATCTGTTGGGCGCTTTTGAGAGCGCTTTATGCCGAAGCAATCACTTTGTATTTTCAAAGCGGTTATTTTTAAAAGGAATTTGACTATAAATATTTTAATTCGAAGAAGGAGCGGTGTATAACGGTGTGTTTCAGTGTGGAAAGAACCCAAAGAAAGGTACCACGCAGCATGCAAGCCGGCACAACGTAAACTGAAGCCTGCTCAGAATTTGAAAAAGAAACATCATGCAGAAACTTTATTTATTCAAAAGAACAGATCAGTATTCTGGCCAGGAAATTTCCTTGAAGATTGCTTGAGTCAGTACCGGGTAGACTGTGCTTCAGAGAATTGTTTGTCGCATCGATAGGTTAAATTTTATTTGTAACTGCCATTGTAAACTTCAGCTCCTTTGAGCGCGATGCTGTAATAAATTCTCCTTTGGTAATTAGCTTCACAGCGTAGCGGATGTTTTGTTGGAACCACTTTATAGATCAGTCATAGTTTTGGTTCTCCTCTGGCCTGGGTTCTCCTAGTGAACCTAGCGAAGCTTATCAATTGCGAGTCTTATAATTTGTGTTTACAGTGCGACCGAGCGCGGCACAAGTAGTTCTCGACAGATCAGTGAAATACATGTAAAACCCTTCTCAGTCAAAGCAACGCTGAAATTCTCCTTTAAAGCACAGTGAATATAAGCCAACTCGATAATCTCAAAAGCAGAAGCTGCTGAACCGAAACATGTTTGGAAACCATCCACATCGAGCACTGCGATCGATGTTCACTTCGCGCGTGCTGAAGCTTACTGATCATGATGTGTCACGTACGCAGTGATAATATAACATGAATCGAGGTGCACCATGGGATACTATTCAATTTACCGGTAGTAGTTTTATTACCTCATCCAAGGGAAAAACCCTCTTTGCTAAATCTTGTTTTTCCTAAAAACAGAATGTATCGTGCAGTAATCTGTTATATTTATGGCACATTATGCTTCCTATAAACGACTTAAAATAAGAAACATTATTTTCCAGTGAATAGTGACCTTAATTACCTTTTGCATTTTAACAATGTCAACATTGTCATTGTCCTGATGATGACCACTTGGGGTACACATACCAGTGCACTCCTCATTCTGAGCTGCAAGGAGGCCACTGTCATCTGACTCAGTCAATAAATTAACAGTAGTAGAAAGAGAAGTTTGCGTCTTACTGGAGAAGCTACTCCCCAGATCATCACTTGGAACACGACAATTAGATCCTGCCAAACAAAAAAAAACATAATAATTAAGCTTACATGTATCTTTGATTTGTAAAAGTGGCAGATTTTTGCAACAAAGTTCAGGAGCTGAAACTTTCACGTGTTATTCAAGACAAGCACCACTGCTACCAAAATACTGGTAAACCTCTACAAATGGTCCTCTTATAGAGCAAAGCAGCTAAACTAAACTCCCTTAAGTTGCAAGTGGACAGCTGGTCCCATTTAACTCAACAACAAAGATGAGCACAAGGTGGCTGACAGGGTGGGGAAGCCATGACATCCCTGTGGGGTGTCCATTTAACAAAGTACCCAGTTCATTTTCTTATAGATAAGAGTTTACTACTATTCTTGCATTCATCCATGGCCAATTATTTAGTTTTATTTTATACCAATAAACCATGATTATAACAAAGGCCTTAAACAATAAAAATGAAGACCTTTCACAGTAAAAACTAACAATTCCCTCATATCCTAATAATCATTGCCTTAAACCCAGCTGGCCCGGGTGTTCAAGGTTTTATTAGTTTGAAAATAAGACCACACGCAATCGCAAAAATAAAATTACTTGCACTTTTCATTTTTAACCTTCTGAGCCTAATCAAAAACGCTATTATAAAGACAAAGTCACCCAGTTTAAGAACCTGCACATAAATGATTGTATAACTGGAGGGACACAAGGGATAAGATTGCACTGCAACTACTGTATGTACGGCTGCCTAGACAAAATAGACCAATTGGATTAAAGAAAAACAGCAATACATTCCAAGAACTTTAGTTGGTTGTCAACAATAATACAACAAAATGAAAAATTGATTGAAATTTACCAGTTATATTTACAAGCAGATGTGACCTGCTGAAGAGAACCTGGTATTTCTTGAGAGGTCCATCATAGTGATTGACAGTGGCAAAAAATGTAAACATTGGTTAAATTTTTGAAAAGTTTAGCAATGTTAGCAAGGAAATATGATTGACAACAAATATGAATAGGCCTTTTGTATTAGTTTGTCACATGATCAACTTTTGGTAAAGACAAAAACAGTTTGCTTTTGAACAATTTTGTTAGCACAAGCTGAAAGAGCATATTAAAATATTTATGAAACCTTAGAAAACCATTCAAGCGTGACTGCATGGGTGGCAAAAGCTGTTTTTCTCATACAAACCCTTCTAATCTTCGGCGGCCGTTGCAATCACTACTTTTGAGATATAAGCCTGAAAATTTGACTATACCTAATTTTAATATGCTCTTTCAGCTCGTGCTTACAAAATGTTTCAAAAGCAAACTGTTTTCGTGTTTATTGAAAGTTGATCACGTAATCAACTAATGTAAAAGGCCTATTCCAAGCATTATATTTTAAGTTACAAACACAGAAAACATTGTCTTGTGACAAATTAAACTACTGCTATAAATATTTACATTTTGTCCTTAAAAAAGCTTTTTGTTTCCTTACGAGCAGCTGATTGGCTCCAAAATCTACTTTCTCAGAATGCACTGTCATTTACCTGTAATCAAATTGGTCAATTTTGTAAAGGTGGCCTTGGCTATACAGTGCTGTAGTTACACGGTAAAAATATCCTTTCACATTACATACCATTTGCTCCAACTGCAACTGCACTGGATGGTCTGCGAGTTAGACCTTGCACAATTTTTTTGAATTTTGCACATTGAGCATCCCAAAAGTAAGTCTTGTGGTACTCCTCTCTCAGACGAATAGCACCAGCACATCTCTCCTGTGCATTCTGCATGGAGAGCTGTGTTATCTTCTGGGCCCACTCTTCTGGGCTTCCTGATTTTACAACAGCCAAATGCCCACCTTCCACTTCATCCAAAGCTTTAGCAATGCCAGATTCACTAGAAGCAAGAACAGGAACCCCTGCAGAAATAGCTTCAAGGGCAACCAATCCAAAGTCTACAGTGCCAGATGGAAGAGCGACCAAGTCTGCTTCGAGGAACATTGTTTTCAGCTCCTCTTGATCACAGTATCCACGAAAAGTCACTTGATCACGTGTTATTCTTGTTGTCTGTAGTAACCATCCCAACATTTTTCTATGTTGGCCTTCACGTGAACCAACAAATGTCATCTTAAATTTCTCTCCAAGGGAACCTACTGCATCGGCAATAATGTCATAACCTTTCAGATAAAGGTTCTCAAAAGGTGCTCCAGCAAAGACAAAGATGTTGAATGAATCGTCTTGATTATTTGTGACTTGCCCAACCTTTTGCACTAAGAGATTGGTATATTTCTCAAAAATTCCAGGTGTAATGACGTGAACCTGCCTGTAAACTAGCTGTAATAGTATTCCTACAGAAACCACAGCATCAGCTGCTCTGCAGAGTGCACCTTCACTTTTATGGTTCTCCTCATTTTCTTTGATTGTATCAGTGTTTTCTGCATATTCTGCTAGTTTATATTTTCCAAGATCTTCAGAGAACACATGCACAATTTGCACCCATTTGCAGTTTGTAGTTTTTGCGATGCAGTAAGCAGGGAAGCCAAACTTCCAGCCGTGACCAATCACAATATCAGGATGTGAAAGTTCTGGTGGAGGAAACCTAAGCCGCTCCAGGGAATCAAAGCCACAAGGTATGCTTGATGCAGTGATTAAATTTACATTGTTTTTTCTAGCATCTTCTCTATCTGATTCACTGCTTTGAGAAACATAGCCATAGACTTTGATCTCGTCATTTGAATTGTTTGCCAGGCTTATTGCAAATTGTCTAATGAGAGTATCCAAACCTCCCCACTTTTCACTTAAAAACATGACATTGATGCATTGTGACTCACTGCCACTTGTGCTTGGCATGCTTGATTCAGGGTAACTTTTCTTCATCTCTGGTAATCTAACAACAGAAGGCTGTAAGCTTTATTGAAACCAGTATAACAATTGCTGTTGATCTCTCTGCAAGTCAAAGTATGTGAGTAATGAAATCAATCAATCAATCCGTTTTTGGGTTGGACACACAATAATGTCATGTAATAATGTAAAATAAAGAAGGGTAATGAACAGCTGATATTCTTTAGGAAGGAAGCTTGTGATATAGGCCATGTAAACAGCATCACTCAACTTTCGATGAGCACATATTGGCTATAATACCATTATTACTGCCTTAATATTTGATAAGTTGTTTAGTCACATGTACAATTAAGGAGGGACACTAAAACCAAAGATGAAAAACAATTCAGTTTGTTAGATCATTCAATGGTTTTACCAAAACTAACGGGTCCTGACAAACTGCGAGCCAGCGAGACATGCGAGTCACGCGAGGCATCAGTAAAAAAAAAGGAAACACAAGTAAAAGCTGCCAATTTACAGATGAGGAGTTGAGCACTCATTATACTGATTAGGGTTAAGCTTTCACTTAGGATTAAGCACTCATTTTAGGGCTAGGGTTAAGCGCTGTTTAAGGTTAAACACTTATTTACAACGGTTAGCATTCAGTTAATGTTTTCCGTATTACTGTTTTCGATTTTTATGGTGTTTTTTTTCAATGATTTTTCAATGGACTGCACGGCTCGCATGACTCGCTGGCTCGCATTTTATACACACTCAGCTAAAACTAACTTTAGCTTGTAGTCAAGACTCCTATAATGTGTTCACAACAGATAAGAATGTTCAGTCAAGAATTTTCTACTGCTCTGCTGTAAGTGCAAATACATATATATCTTATCAAATTAATAAAATCATACAAGGGCGTAGCATGAGATTTTCAAGATGCGCGCATGGGGAAAAAATGAGAACAGTGAAAATGCTCTGAACTAGGGGGAAGTGGAGAAAATGTCTGTTAATGGTATTGATTCGTCACTATCAGATCTGGAATACGGAGTACTGCAAGGATCCATGTTAGGTCCTTTACCGCATTCACTTTACACAAGTTCATTGGGTGATATAGCCAGGAAGTATGCATGGTATACCACTTCATTCGTATGCAGAAGATACACATAATCTATATCTCTTGTTGACGTCTAACTGCCCTAACCATACATCGAATGCAAAGGAGACAGTTGAGCTGTGTGTTTAAGATATTCAGCGACTAGATGCTGTGTAATAAACTTAATTAAGTTGAATCGAAATAAGACAGAACTTTTAGTTGTTAGTTCAAGATATCGACCACATGACCTCCCCTCGACCGCATCCAAATCGGAGATGATGTTACCAGTCCCTGTGAACATGCTAGAAATCTAGGAGTTCAATTTCATCAGTATTTCAATTTTAGTGAGCACATTAAAATCACCTGCAAGATCGCATTTTTCCGCCTTTGCGGTATTGCTAAGATTAGGCGATATTTATCCCATGACACTGCCAAGACTATTGTTTAAAAAAAATAGCTTACATGACCTCGCATTTAGAGTGCTATAATGCCCTGCACTATGGTCTTACAAAGTATCTGATTGATAGACTTCAACTAGTGCAAAATTCAGCAGCTCGCCTTGTTACTGCATCTAGAAGGCATGATTATATTACACCGATTCTTAGGTGTTAATTACACTGACTCCCCGTGCGCCATAGATTTATTTTTAAAGGCTCTAACCAGTCAAGCACCTAGCTAGCTACATCAAAGATCTGCTGAAGTATACGAACTTGGGCAGCATATCACAATCTTCAAACAAGCATTTACTTGATTAGCTCATAGCTAATTTTAAAACCTGTGGTGATAGGGCATACTCCGTTGCTGCTCCAAAATTGTGGAATAAGTTACCATTGGACATCAGGATATCATCATCAGTTACTGTATTAAAAACTAAGCTTAAGACATATCTGTTTACGAATTCTTTTTATTTATAATTTCTATTATTAGCAGAGCTCTCGCATGCCAAGCGCATGCAGCAGAGCAGTATGGTTAAGAAAACCTATCCATCCCAGAAAATTTGGTAATCACGTGACCATACACCAAACAACCATCCATCCGCACCACAAGCATACCAGTTAATATAAAATCAACTCAATCAATTCACTCAACTCAAACTCAATCAATATTATTCCACTTCACTGAAGTTGTTACGCCAGTTGCCAATCAAAGTGAAGAAGATTTCAATGACAGGTTAATTGCTGTAGGGCAGATCGGCGGCATCAAAGGCATGCATGTCTCCAGGCTCTGCCACCATTTTCCCTCCCCAGACTTCCTCTCCACTCTCTTCGCTTTCGCCCTTTCCCCACTCCAGAGCCTGGTCCCAGGCTAAACACTCACTGGCCAACATTGAAATTGGCGGGAAAAATTCCAGCCACCAGCTGCCCCAGCCAACACAGTATTGCACAAATGGAACGGGAATTTCTGTTCCAACTGGTTGTAACCATGGAAAGTCGTCCTTTTTTACGAAAAAATTCGAATTATGCATGCAATTTGCATTAAAACCAGTTGAACCAGAAATTTTGCCTGAAAGGAAAGTGCCCCAAGACTCTCTTGGATTACCTTACTTGGGGCAAGAGGTTGACATGGAAAGTTATCACATGTTTGATCAAAAAAGCGCACCAGAATTATCCTGAAACTTAAACTCCACTTAATGTTATTCTACTCAATAAATCATTTGTAATTTATTAATTATATTATTAGATACTGTAATTAACTTTCTCTTGATATTTTCTATATATCTGTAATTATTTTATTACATGCTGGTCTATATTTATATACCGGTAAGTATATATTTAATAAGTTCTATAGTAACAACTAAATGAAATGTAAAGAGGAAGTCTCACCTATAAGCCTTCATGGCTTCTTGAAACTTCCTTACCTTTCGAAATTCTTTTCTTTCGAATTGTGTATATCACGCGTAATTAAATGCTTTTCCCTCCTTCTTTTTTATGTAAAAAAGGCAAAATAACATCAATAAACAAATGGACCAATTAGGACGGCAAATTCTTATTATTAACTTACACAACAATTTAAGATGGCATAACAATTTTATAATGACAGTGTTAGGAGAAAGTACATTTCCATATTAGAATAATAAAGCCACTGTAGAAAGTTTAATATGTCATCTTAAATTAATGGAGGGATTCTCAAGATATTTACAAAGATGAAAAGATCTTTATTATATAGTTTACATAACAGGGAAATACTCACCAAAAAACTATGCCTTAAATTTTCAAACACAGATGAGTTCTAGCTAATCAGAGGAGCGAATGACGGTTTTCACAAGTTGAAAAAATGATATGTCCAACCAGAAGCCACAAAGGTGTGTGCAGCGATTCACCCCCAAGTTTCCTCCTTTTATAGGTACTTGCAGTGCTTACAGTACTGCATGGCAGGCATTCAACGAGTTACCTGAGATCAGGCTCAATTTTCATTTCGCTTTGTAATGACATTCCGGCAGGCAAGGCAAAACGAAAACAGAGCCTGATACGAACCTTCTACGAAACGTCTGCCGCCCACTTTTTGGATTGATTGACATTTGCCGAATCAGCCAGTATGCAAATTTTTCTTGCGTGGAAAAAAATGCTGACTGGCTGACTTAAAACATAGGCACGTTAAACGTGCATGAGCTATTTTGAATGCTTCAGTTTAACTTTAATGCTTCAGTGTAACCTTACCGAGAGTGATGAATCTACCTTTCTCGTCCTAAATGTAGACTGGGTTTTTGTGCGAAATAGGGTATTGCCGTACATGGATGAAAATGCGAAACGCTTAGCTCCGTCTATCCTCACGCTATATATTCACTTTCCTCTGTCTTTCCCTGTTACATTTGGTGCAAGTGAAACAAATTATTAAAGTAAAATAATATCTACTCACCAAACGTTGACTAGAAGGAAAACTCTAAGGTTTCCTCGCAGTTTCTTAACCCAAAATGTGACTCATCAAATTCAAGTAGTTAAGAAATACCAGGATTCATATCATTGTGGTAGATGGTTACATTATCACAATTCACAAGGTTTTCACATGCGATTCTACTCAGTGAAACAGTCCTTAACTTCGACAACTTATTTCTTCATGTTTTAAAAGCTATTGCTTCTTAAAAGACAAGAGCCTTTTTTAAGGCATTGGTTACAAAACGAAACAGGTCTTCATACGTTCAAGTTACTTAGATGTACAGTCACACAACTGGCACGTGAAAGTGTTGGACTTTGCCCCCTTTTGTGGTTCGTACATGAGGGAATTCGAGTTATCACATGGTAATCTAGTAAACAGAATTATAAAAATAACTCATGCACACAATTTGCACGTGAAGATGTTGGTCTTTGGCCCTTTTACAATTCGTACGTAAAAAAAAGGCAAATTGTTTACTATAAAATTTTCTCAAGCGATTTTCAGAAATCACCTCGGTTTTATTACAACATCTGCAATTAAATTATGTTTCATGCAACGTCAAGGTTGATAGCCTAACATTTATTAACTTCATAGAAAATTATTAAACTGCCGAAATATATTTCTACTTGTATCATGTTACTCCACTCAATACAAGAGTATCTAATTATTGTGTCAACTAGCTTCTTCCAATTTTATTCCCTAACGCTACTGTTTTTACTTAAGTTACGCGTCTTTACTAAATAAAACACGTTTCAGAAACTATAATACTTAGTATGCAGGAAGGATGTATCAT